GGTTCTTTTGGAGAGAAAAAGAAGGTAAACTAACTAAACAAATTGTGAACAAAACTAACATTGCTTTTTATTTAAATTAAATAAATAATATTTCACATCAAAAGAAACAACAATGCTTTAACAAATCGTATTAAATAATCTGATGACAGAATAGCTGAAACTTTAACAAAATAAATAACTCAGTTATGAATGTGGAGCACTTTTGCTAAATGTTTAGACAAATTGCTCGTGTTACCGCCCTTACATGCTAAACTCTTATTGCACTTTTGGTAACGAGCATTGTCCACATGGAGACTGGTAAGGTTTAACCACACCTCGGAGCGCGTTCTCTCCGCCATCTCCTCCGTGTGTGTGTGTTGCTGCATGTAGCAGCTGCGTGTGTGTAAACTGCCCCGTCCCCTCGCACACAGACGGGGGAGAGAGATCTCTCGACTGGATTGGAAAGATGATCGAAAATACTAAAAATAATCATAGACGCATTTTGCAGTCTTTTTGCGTATTAGAAACGGAGTTGGCGACACTAAAACTGCAATATAATGTTTGTGTAGCAATAATACATACGACATATATTTTTGCATGTCTCCAGTACCGATAAAAAGACCGATAACGTCGGAGCTTAACGGTACCACGGTCTTTAATAATTCAGCCCCGGGGCCCATTTAATACCGGGGCTCGGTACCCATCCCTACCTGACACATCCCCGCTTATAAGATAAATAGCTGCTAAATGACACTGGAGTAACATGTGCAAATTATATCTTCACTAGACTGATTCAAATTCCACCAAAACATTTTCGGGTGTAGATGTGATAAGAGAGAAAAGGACATGTTAATTAGCAGACAGTAAACTAGAGTTGGGTGTAAACAACAAACATATCAAGTTTAGGCTATAAAACGTATCAGTTTGGTTCAGAATTATAATTCCCAAAGATTCAGATCTATGAAGCTGTTGTCTGTCAAACAAATAACGAATATTAGCTCATGTAGCTAGAATGGAGAGCTTTCAGATTTTGAACTTACTGAAATTGGTCACAAACAATCAGTAGACTACATTAGACAGTGCCATTTAGGCTTTGTGAGTGGAAAAAGGGGTTTTCCCCCTATCCATATCGTCAACCACTCAAGACACAATATTGATGAGCAGGCAAAATGAAAACGAACATTTGATGGCAAACTGGTTTAAGGATTTCAAATGCACTCCTGCAAAAAAAAAAAAGTCTCAGTGGGGGGATATGCCGGTCAGAAAAGTGTAGGTTTTTTAGATTATGACACATTTTCCGGAAGGTAAATTAACATTGCCTTATTCTGCTCATTTTCAGGTTTCATAATTGTATATTGTGCTTCTACTGAGAAATATTCAAAAAGAGAAACGGATTTTAACTTTTGCAGACCTTTTAAATGTCCAAAAACCAATATAGCACTGCAGGTAAGGGAAAACCAAATAAGCATCATAGTAGGGCTGCTCGATTATGGCAAAAATCATAATCACGATAATTTTGGTCAATATTGATATCACGATTATTCATTGACTTTGAAAACATCCATTTATTGAACTTTTAAAAATAATAAGTTGAACAGTATCTTTTTAACAGTTGATTACCCTGAACTTTAAGTATAACTCTACTGCAAAGTATTCAGCTGAAGCCACATCTTTTTCAACTCCCCCACGGCATTTGTCATATAGGGCAGGCAGTGCAGATCTGGTGAAATGATGCCGAGATGGCATCGCGTAACGCTTATCCATAGTGTTAACCAGTTGCTTAAACCCCTGGTTGCTTACCGTGCTAACTGGGCACATGTCTTTAGCTATGTAGAATGTGATGGCCTGTTATATCTTTGTGTCCTTGCGAGCTGGTTGAGTAGGCTGTTGCACTGTAAAGCGTCTTTAATTGATGACTGTGATGTGGTGGATGAAGTAGAGGGGGCACGCTCGTGAACTGTCAACGGGAGGCGGTGGGGGGGCCTCACTGCGGGGAAACTGTGGACCTCTGTCGCCTGTCAGCGCAACGGAAATGTTGACGTTTAAAAAATTCATTTTACCTTTCTTGTTCACAAGTTGCTCTTGTTCTGCTATCTTTGCTCGCGCTGAACTCACAACTATTGTCACTCACAACCTGGCCAAGAAGGCTTTTAGGGAGGGGCGAAAGCGCACACAGCTAAATAATCCTTTTATTTAGATTACGTTGTTTTCGTAATCGTTGCAAGACAAAATTGTAATCGAGATTAAAATACGATTAATTGCACAGCACTACAACAAAGGGCCCCTTTAACATCGGCGTTGGAGTGGAGCACTCATTGATCAATCTTGTAATTTGTGATATGCATGATTGTGAATCAGTACAAGAGTATCCAGTGCGCTTCATTGTATGATTAAGCATGCAATTAATCATGAGAAGTAGGGATGCTCCGATCGCCAATTTCGGGGCCGATGGCCGATCGTTGATCGCCGGAATCAGTATCGGCCGATACCGATCGCCGATCCGATCGAGTGGGCGGGGCCTAAATGGAAGATTTAAACATCACTTTAAATCTTCCATTTAAAGTGATGTTTAAAACTCAGTTAATGGGGCTCATTCACTGGAGCTTCCACAAACAACAATCAACTTAATTATTACATTCAAATGATGTACATTATTCAAGTTTACATTCACTTTGGATAATAACATGGAAGAAATTAGCGGAAGCGCTCTCTTTTCCTCTCTCCCTCCCTCTCTCCCTCTCCTGACAGCCTGTCAGTATCTCATGCAGCTCACTGATCCAGTAATGAGTGACCCGACAATGAAGAATACATATATTTATAATAACTAGTTTAGCTTGTTCCAGAGGTAGATAAAATAGCTAAGTGTGTTAGGTCTAACTCTGGTACGTCCACACAGCAGCTTTTCAAAAATCTTGAAAATCTTGGAGCTGGGCGTGTCTGAAAGCTTGGGGATTTTTTGCGAGCAACGCGACCAACAACCAATCACATGAATCTCCCGCCCCCGACATACAAAGCAAAAAACCCCGGGGATTTTATGCGAGCAATATATATATATAAATATAAACTCCCCAAACAGGCGAAAACCTACCAGTTTCACCCACTGTCTCTGCCACCTCCCTCCATGCCTGGTTCCTCCGGTTTGTATCCCGTTAATAGTTCTGGTCGTAAAGAACCGGGTGATTTGCTACCGTAATTTCTCGTTTGGAATATGAGGAAATGAACTGCGGTCTGGTTCTCCCTGTGTGTATGTTTCGCTGCGCTCACCGGTCCGGCGGGCGGAGCTGCAGGATTTGTGCTTCACACACGTTGCATACCGCTATTTTACTGTCTTTTTCGGACACCTTAAAATAATGCCAGACCGGTGAAGCCATTTTGGCGAGCTTGTTTTGCCGCACACAGAGAAAAGTGTCATGTATTTTACGTCATGCGATCGGCTCTCGCGATCGGCATGTTTAGAGAGCACCGATCGATCGGTAGAGAGTGGGTATCGGCCGATCTCGATCGGTGACCGATCGATCGGAGCATCCCTAAAGAGAAGTAATAACATGAAAATTACTTTGTTGCACTAGTGAATCATATAAATGGTGAAATCATTATCCTGGTTGGATACTTTGCCACATTTTGTCTTGTTTTTTTCTTCTTCCCTTTTAACCCCCTTAATGATCAACAAGTAACACTGTTGGACTTTGAACCAAGCTGACCACCCACTATATATTTCTAAATAGTTCAAACAGGTGTAAAAAACAGCATAAAAAGGAGTCAACTGTGCAAACAAAGAAGTGCATCAAAGATATCTGCATACTGTGGACCTAAAATAACAATACAACATAAGTGTTTTCTTAAAGTAGCTAAGACATACATAAACACGTTATAAAAAAACATTTCTGCATACACTTAAGCAACATACATGGGGTTCAAGGCCATCACCGTTTCTATATTTGCACAGCTATTCTTTGAACAGTCTCCTATAGGAATTTCAACAGAGAAGGTGTACTGAACCAGAGTATACCCAATATTTTTTAAATGGTCTGGACGTCTGCAAATGATTTACATTTTAGTATAATCTTTGTTGGACTTGTCCTATTGTTGTCAATTTCTGGTTTATAATGATGTGCGTAATAAACTATTTAATAATAAACACTTTGTTTGTATGGACCCTATCTTACACCCACCCACAAATATATATATTTACACATCGCACACTATCAGACATTTAATCACTGTCTGCATTGAATTTCGCACAGATCTCTCTCCATTATTATTATTATTAACCTTGTTGGATTTATTTGTTTTCTTGAATGTATTTCTCTATCTGCCTTGTATATGCCTTTCGGAGAAAATTAAGAATTTAATTGAAGAGGTATACTTGTTCTGCCCCCCTCTTCTCTATATGATATATATAATGTGATCTTCTAGGTCAGTGGTCACCAACCTTTTTAAGCCCAAGATCCCCGACCTCGGCCTTGGTGAAAGGCAAGATCTACCTATATCCATGCATTGCGTTTACACCGGACGCGATGCGATTTTTGGGGGCGGCGTGATTAAATGCAAAGACGCGGACAGATGCGGTTGATGCGAATGACGCATTCGCGCGGTAGCCAATCAGCGGTGAGGAGCTCAGCTTGCGGTCACTCATGTTGAATCAGAAAACCAAAACAACAGCCATTAGCTGTTAGCACACAGAGCTCACAGCTCCTCATATCTGTTCAGAAACTGGAGAAAAGTTATAACATTAACTAAACAGACTGTCTGTGTCATGGCGAATACAGTCACTGGTTTATTTCTGTCTGTATGCCGTTGTTGTGAGTGTGGACGGAGCAGCTACTACGTTAGTTTAGCCTGATCGATCCGATCTCCATTCCGAAAAACACGCATTTTAAAAGTTTTTCGCCTGCCGTCTTGTCTGTACACTTGTCAAAGCATTAATTCATGGTTTTTACTAACCGGTATCAGTTTGTAGTTATTCCGGCATCATTTTGAAACGTGTATTACAATTAACATGTGACAGTTAGATATCCTACCCATGTGATCAAGAGGTTTTCAGAAGCCCCTCATAGCTCCGTTGTCCTCAGCAGGAACTCTCAGCCCCTGAGAAGAAAAGAAAGAAAATGAGTACACTTCTTCCAACGTTTTACACTTAAGAAACACCAGGAGTGGGCATTTCACCTGGATCACATACGGCACTGCTTCCCCAAAGTAAAATCACTTAGGAACTATAGGTTAAGATCAAGAGCTACGCTGGTATTGTTTTCACCCTGTGTGAGTGTCACCCGGGCAAAAGGTGCTCCTGGAGGCCACTAGCGTAGCAATAACTACCACAGAGGAGGTTCTGAGCCAGTCATTTATTTGACAATGGACACATTTAGGGACCATAATAGATCGCAACCATGCAAGATGCAGTCACAGAACTTTACAGGTGTGTATTGAGATCATAGACGAAGAACATAGTAAGAAAATCCTGAATTGGGGGGCTAAGAAGTAGAATGGGACTGCCCCCAACTTTATTTGGCATCCAAGTAATTCCTGATAACACATGTCATAGAAGTTAATAGATGTGAAAATCTAGTTTACAAACAATCATGGAGGCCCTGCCAAATATCCACTCAAGACCATATTTTTCTAACAGAGCTGTGAAAAAGTACCCTAATTACAATTGACATTCTGCAGCAGTGTGTCAGTGAGTGGGTGAAAAGGCAGCCAGAGGAAAAGTGTTATAAACAAAGGGTTGTGTCATCAAAACAATTAAAGAAACTGGGTCAGCAATGCCTGTGGATATGTATGCACAGCACATTGTAACTACACCTGATGATGATGATAGTTATTAAAGGGGCAGTACCATATGCATTCATTGAATGAATACAATATGTAATGCAAGTAGGTAAAAACACCTCCTTCATGTTTGCCACCGATATATTAACCCCCATCTCACTGCTGGTACTGGATCACAAACTAGAGTCATTGAATGAAGTGTTTTAGTTTGTTTTGTATGTAGCTATTTTTTAAATGTTTTGTCGCCATTCTGCTTTCCTCCTAAACTCAGTTTCATCTCGTGCAAGTTAAGTCACCATGCTAAACTGCCGGTAGCTAAACTAGCATTAATTCATTGCAAGGCAAGCTACTTGCGGAAACACATTGCCCATCCCCCACACACCATGGCGATTGAATGGGCTGAAACTACAGTGTGTACGTTATCCGACATGCTGTTTAAAGCAACACCGGCTAGTGCCAATGAATTACTCAAAATGCACTTTAATGCTGTAAGATGAGACTGAATCAAACGCCCCTTCATTCGTCAGTGGGAATCTCAAGTATATAGCAGCGCTGCATCTATAAAGTATAACAACCCCTTTAACACGTTACAGTTGTACTGTAATGCTAGGCTGCCAATACTGTCCACATGTAACTACGTGAATGTATGGAGGAAATGAGACCGGGCTTTATCGGCGTTTGTATTCTAAGCTTTTTGTCAAGTAAACACGTGAACTTGCGCCTTGTTTTTTTATCTCGTTAAAATTGTGTAATTACCCGTTTATTTACAATCCATTATAACGCAAGTCCCCCTCTGCATTGCCATGAGCAACGAGATGTTAGCACAGAGGCTAACATGCGCTTTAACGTTAATGTTGCCTTGGCGGCGGCTGTAACGGTCGCCACAAATGCCAGGCAGGCACAGGGGTCTTAACGTTTTGTTTATTTTATGCATGTCACGAGTAGTCTATAGCTACCAAACGTATGCAGTCCAAGCTACATGGGTAACCGTTGTGTTTGGTTCTTTTAAATAGCGAGAGCATCAAGTACGCTTATTTGAAACAGGGTTTATGGCAAGTACAGTGAGACCATCAGCTTGCTACCACTCTGCTAACACGCTAGCTAGGTGGCTAACACTAGCATGATATGCTAATGACAGTGTTGCTATAATCTCGTACCTACTTGGATAAAACCTTTCAATGGACGATATCTTCCACAGCTCTTGTGTTCACGTCAGACCATGTTATCTCTTTTATCGATTGCAAGACAAGTCCTTTACGCACATATATTAACTATCGATAGGTTATAATATTTAAACTACAGCCAGGCGGTAAGAACCTATGGTAAGAACCCAGCAACCGCTTCAGACATTCGACACAGTGGGGTGACCCAACATGCAGAAATGAGCCGCCTGTAACTACTGTTATTTCAAATTGCTCAAGCTCAATGTAACGATTAACCCGTGACGACGGCAATGTATAATGTATTCACCGCCTCCTCGATCAAATACGGCACAGTATGATGGGTTATTCATGTAGAATGAGCTAATACAACTACATGTTACAAAAGCGTTATTTCATATTTCATCCACACATAACAATCATATAACGCGGTGACTAACCTATTTTCCAAAAGCAAGGCTTGTTAAAGGTGCAAGCGGCCCTCAAGTGTTGATTTGAAATTGGTCCGTTTGACAGGTTTACAGCAAAATGGAGCCACATTTCCTCGTTGAATCCAACCAATGAGGTGGAACAGAGGGAAAAAAATGCCGAGGCCTCTGGAAGTTTGTCCCGCAGCCAAGCACCAGTCATAACAACAGTGTCCTTGCCCATCCCCCACTACACCTCATTTTTGCATGCGTGGTCATCACTCGCCGTGGATTAATGACACCCCACCCCCTCTCCTCTGCTCAGTCATTCAGACTGGGAAAGTCAACAACAAGTTTACATCATCATTGCAATCTGAGTTGTACACAGATTTATTTTTTTAGATGCATACATAATCCATAAACATATTAATGTATCCAATGATTGCCTGACCATATTCATCCTGTTCCCCGGTCATGTTATTTAATATCAATGATTCACTTGAGGTTTGTATGCTGACCTTTAATGTTGCTGTATATGTTATTTCGGTTGTGATTGGTGGCTGTCCCTGTTTAAGTGGCTGCACTGCCTCTATGCCGTTTCCTCTGTGAGATGATGACATAGCGTGAAATGTGGAATCAGCTAACCATTCTATTAGCTGTGCAAGAGCAGTAACTCTGCAGCATATTCAGCATCAATGGCACTGTGACTTGTTATCGTTACCACAAATGTAATAATCTCTCCTGGGATTGTAGTGCATTCAAAGCATTACAGAGCTACAAATTCAAAGAGTCGGGTCATTTTTCATCTCTTTTTATTTATTATGTGTCTCTTTGTGGTCATTATGTTTCTCATCATGATGGATCTCTTTATAGTCAGTTTGGGGTTGTTTTGTCTCTCTCTGTAATAATTGTGTGGCTTTTCGGTGTCATATTTTGTCTCTTTGATTTATTTGTTGTTGTTTTTTATTTTGCTTATTTTGTGGCCCTTTTGGTGGTATTCTATCTCTTTGCTTATTTTGTTTCAATGTTTTGGTTATTGTGTGTCTTTTAGTGGTCATTTTGTAACTGTTGGTTGTCTTCTTGTGGCTATTTTTGCTTTTCTTTTTTGGTGATTGTGTGGCTCTTTTGTTTATCTTGAATCTATGTATTGATGATTGTCATTGCTTTGTAGTTTCAGTCTGTCTTTTTTTGCACATTTTTGTCTATTATGGACTTTCCCAAAAAAAATGTTGGCCCTGGCTCAGGGGCCTCCTGACCTGTAAGACCCCTGGGTCTGTGCCCTGTAGACCCAGGCAATAACCCATCCATCACTCTGTGCATCCTCACAAACAACACAAGATCATAATAACATTTGTTAGCCAAATTGCAAAAAAACACTGCTCATCAGTAGCCAACATTGATAATATATCAATAGAGCAGCACAGGCAGTATGGGAAAAATAAAGAGCGTACAGTATACAGTATTTGCATGCAATCAGATGGTAAAAGCCTCAAAGGATAGCCTATCCGTTGTTAGCTGATGGATGTGGCTTTAACAGACAGACACTCAGGCTACTGCAGTCCACTGACTTCTCCCCTCTGCTGCCTCTGAGCTGTTTATCCTCCATTACATTACATTACATTACATTACATTACATTACATTGCTGACGCTTTTGTCCAAAGCGACTTACAATAAGTACATTCGACCAGGAAGACACAACCTGCATTATATCAGTGCGTATCTTTCCCTATGTCCACATCCATGCTATTGATCCACCACACCTCTATGGCTCTAATATCTTGTGCCAAATGAAACATTACGCTTTTTGGGGTTTTCCCTTTCTTGTAATATTGTATTGGTTTTAGTGCTTTCAAATGGTCTGCAGATGCTAGTGATTCCTCGAGAGGTATTTTTTCTCCCACACACTCCCCCCCTTCCTGAAACACCTCAATTGTTAACTTCTGTAACTAGGGACATCACTGTATGTAACACTCTTGCTTCTATTGGCTACCACTCCAACACAGTGTACGTGATAGGCTAAGGGGCGGGACATCTCCAAGCGGTTGACCAATAACATCCCAGCCAGCCAGCTAACCAATCAGAGCAGACTGGGCTCTGGTTTCAGACAGAGGGTGAAAAGAGGCAGTATGAGAAAAATAAAGAGCTTTTTGAACATTAAAGCATGGAGACATGTCACAGGAGAGACACTAAATGAATCTGAAAAGGAGCATAAAAGGGCTCCTCTAAGAGAATTCCATCAAAAGTGATCTGAATGTCAACACATCTGGTGAACTGCAAAACATGCTTCACTTTCAGCACTGATTACTCTTCATTTATGGGGATTTCCCACATTCTGCCTCTCACTTATATCTCCTCAGGCCAGGAGAAACAGATATGTGCTCCATCCCTCCCACTGCCAGGGTGTTTTGGCTGCCAGTGAAGAAATGTGAAACAAATTCCTTGGCTCCAATGCCAAGCTTTCCACAATATATGATTCACTCTAGGGGCCAAAATTGTGAATCGACTGACCTCCTCTCTGTGAATGTGTCCTAAATGAACATTGTTTACTTGCACCATGTACACTGAACATACATTTGCAAAAATCTCTATTTATTCAGCTTGTGCCGACTGTGGTTCTCCATGAAATGAGATTAGCTTCCCTCTATAAAGTGTGTGAGACTAGAAGGAAATACAGCAGTATGGGATCTGTTTGGGGGCGGGGAACAGATGGATGCAATGGATGTGAGCACAGCGACTACACTGATACACGTGTGCTCGACCTGTTGGCATTGTGTAATTGCTTGGATACTGCCGCACAAACAGCAGCAGGCTGCATCCACTGCCTTCACAACAGCAGTATTGTCTTTTCTTTCATTTCTGTGTGAAGAGGGAAGACAATTATCAGGAGATTAGTGGCTACATCTAAGATAAGGATGAGTAGTTTAAGATTTTCAACACCATAAAAATGACATCAAGGTTCAATAATAAATGGATATCAGCTATATTTGTTAAGTAATGCATAAAGAGAATAATCTGAAAAGCATACGTTTAATAGTTTCTTTATGTGCGATACCAGATGTTTGACTATTGTAATTGTTATGTTGTAACTGTTACTCTAATAAAGAAAAAAGACTGAAGCTCATTTTGACCCTTACTTGAATGAATCATGTTTATTTATATTGCTTGTCAATTATATGTTCATATGTAAACTATTTAAAATGCTGTATTTGCATTTTAGGAAAATCAGCATTATCTATTATTGGTGTATTTTTTATGAGAATATTTAAGGGTTTTTTGTGCATGTAAATGGTCTGCAAACGCTAAAATCTCTGTATTCCCTCCAGAGGGAGTTTCTCTCCCACACACTCCTCCCCCCTACCTGAAACGCTTCCATTGGACTCCTTTGTTTACCGCCGTCACATAATGACATCATTATGTAACACTCCCACTACTATTGGTTAGCACGCCAACAAATTGTACATGATAGGCTAAGTGGCGGGAAATCTCTAAGTGGCTGACCAATCAAAACAGAGCCGGACAGCTAACCAATCAGAGCATTGATCAGTCTGAATAACACAAATATTGCATTTTTGTATAAATAAATGTGTACATTTTAAATGTGCTATTTATTTTTTGATTGAATTCTGGACTGATTTGTCCTAGTTGTGTGTCCAAATAAGAATCGTTTTGATTTGATCTCTTTTATAACAATGGCACTGTGGCCGTAGATAACCCTGATTCACAGCAGGTGACTAACCACCACACAAAGATCAATAACTGTCCTTCCTTGTTTCCTACATAATAAATAGCATGCAGTAACCACGTACAGTGTCAGACCAGCTCACCCTAATGGCTGTACTACATTAAAGCCCATCTCACATGAATCATTAACCTGAGAGAGTGAAGGACAGAAAAAGAGGAAACGGAGCAGATTGTGCAGCTCAACCTCACTGCCTGCTCAGCAAGACCTATTTTTAGGTTCCTGTGAAACAAAGAAGCAGAATCTCCTTTCACCCCCCCGTCACCATGTCGTTCCACCTCACATTGTGGAACTGGAAGACAGTCTGCGCCTGTTTGAAGCTATGTTTAGGCCTAACCTCAAATACATATCTGTCTGCCCTTTTCTTTTTTCTTTTCATCCTGATATATTTGTGCATGTATTTCCTGCTGACTGACTAAATGTAATTAATAAATATATATAATATATATATATATCATTTTTAAGAAAAGGATTTGCGTTAACCCTAACCCTACACAACAAAAAGGAATACAGACTAAAACTAAGACACCTCAAATGACTAAATGTCTCCAAAAGTAAAAACAAATGAATAAATAATAAAACAAATTGCATTTAAAAAATAAATAAAAATCTAGAACAGAGACGAAAACATGAATAATCATTTGCAATGAATATACAGTTCTTTATACCTCCACCATTTTTCCATATGGTCAAATAAATTACCTTTTTTATTCTCATGGTTATTTTGTCCATTACATAACATTCATTTACAAGATCCTATACGTTATTTTCCAAGCCTATTTCTTAGTCCAGGGTATATTTCAATGGGGAAGCATCAGCTAAGAGGCAGTACAGAGGAGTTTCTCTAGATAATTGTCTTAAGAAGAGGTAAGCACTGCTGTGATGCTGCTGCCTGGACACATTTTCATAATGACACACACACACACACACACACACACACACACACACACACACACACACACACACACACACACACACACACACACACACACACACACACACACACACACACACACACACACACACACACACACACACACACACACACACACACACACACACAGCCTTCAGAGAAGTCATTGCATTGAAAACAGCTCCTAAATATGACGTTTTATGGAACATAATATATGCCA